CAGATGCCTTTTAAATGTTGTAATTGTAATTTGACCCGGTCCATGGCAACATTTACTGCACACGAATCAAAACCTTACAGGATGGGGGGACACAGCAGGGAGAAAGAGAAGTGAAAAAACAGAGCTCCTGGAATTAAATCAAATATAAGTGTGAATTTCGTGGAAGCAGAATGTGGTCCTCTAGTTGGCACTCACTGATGTGTGAGAGTTGTGGAATGGTCATGTTATCCTCTCTGTTACAGCGACATTCGCTGATTCATTCCAGCCTTCGGTCGAAACGGCTATACGTGAGAAAAGGAAGTTTATTTTTGTGCACAGGACTGCTTTATCCCTGCAGGACATACGAAATAGAAACTCGACAAAAAAAAAGAGACAGATCTTTGCTTTTCGAAAATACTATATATGAATTTCTCAAATTACAAACAAAATGACACAACGAATATGTATTTTAAAAATTAAATGAAAATAAAAAGCATCGTTTATAATAAGTGGACGAAAGTAAATGATGTAGTCAAATCCAAAAATAAACCGGCTTTACGACAGAAATGTTAAATCCTAAGAGATTCGATTCTCCCCCATCTCCTTTCCACATTATTCCCACAGAACAAAGGGGTACAGAAATGTAATTGTCCAGTTTAACAGTCGGTAACGTACCGCCCAGGTCTGGATGAATAAGACAAGCCCACCGGTAGAGCACTGCTGAATCTGCGAACGAAAGAGAAATTCCATGCATGTAGAAATTAGCTTCACGGTGAGCAGAAGAGTGGAGCTGGGCGTTTTGCAAGAACGTGGGGGGAAAACAGTGTCACTCCAGTTGCCTCTTTATTTATGTTATTGCAATAGGACAAGCGGAGGGAAACCCGCTGGCATGCCATTTCCTTGCAATCCTCCTTCTGTGGGACACTCTCGGCAGACCAGGATCAGCATCGATGAACAGACAAGTTTTCCAAATGCTGAAACACACATCTGCCGTCGCCCTCTGACCTTCCCCCTTCTGCTCATCTCACATTCATTTCCTTAACTGAGGCCGAGGCAACGCTGCAACATTTTTATTACAACGTCGAACAAAAGTAAAAACAAAAAATTATCTTAAAATAAATAAATAAAATCGCGGCTCTTCACAACACATCAGGCAGTTACAATCACAACACATGTGCACAGGTTCGTTCGGGACTGATTCAGGGAGACAGGGGTTTTACAGAAAAACAAGAATAAAGGCATCCGCTCCACTTTGATGGGGTGTAAGCATTAACCGGAATCATATTGTAACACATTTAATTCACTTCGCGTTGTGAGTACAAGAGCTTTTATGAAAAAATAATGACAGCGATGCTGTGTAATATCTCAAAACAGAGGGAGAACCAAAGAGGCTAGTGAGAAAAATCACTCTATGTTAATGACTGCGGCAAAACGACAAATTTTGCGAATGGTCTTTTTTTTAAATTGAGGTAACTATTTTTTCGAATGCTATTTTGTTGGACCCGTCAATGGAATTCGCAAATATCTATTTCCACAAGCAAAAATCTCCTGGAATCGGGGCCAAGACGGCTGATCGGATGCATTATGATGTGCTGCTGTCATATAGTTTCTTGTTCCTCTTTAGAATTTAACCCTCGCCAGTAGCTACAGCCGCCGTTACAAACGATTAATTGGCCTGAACGGGGAGTGTATTCCAGTAAACACACTGCCTTCACTCGACAAGCGTTTTGGCCGGAGTCTAAAGGCTACTCGAGGGGGGTTAAAGACTGAGGAGATTTCACAGACACCCGTAGGTGTTTGAGTGCATTCATTCATTTATGCGCTAAACTGGGATGATACTCCAGATACAAAAACAGAAATTGCTGGAAAAGTTCAGCAGGTCTGGCAGCGGAAATCAGGGTCCAGTGACCCTTCCTCAGAACGGGGAGTCCAGATACTAGCCACGTTATAACAAAAACAAAACAGCTTTTTAACGACATGTAAGGCGTTTGGTTAAAATCACTAGAAGTGCACAACATGTGAGGGAATGTGGTGATACTCTCTCGTGACGCTTAGAGACAGCTTGAATAAAATTATTTTTTGGCAATTTACAGACTTTGATAAAATGGTGTTGTTTTTCTTGGCTTATTTCTGAAAGGCAAAAATGCAAAAAGTACTTTTTTATATAAAAAGTGCTTGTAATACTGTAAATTAAATTTCATGATCAACATTTTGTTAAATTTCGTCCAATATTAATATGTCAATTGTAATGTTCGGAATGTGTAAGTTCAGGGATACAGCTACATCTGAGTGCTGTGTCTGTGACCAACAGTGAAATGTAACTCTGATGCATACCTAACTTTTTTTTTGAGTCGTCATGCGCCGACTCTGATTTACCTTTCAGCTCATTCAGAGATCCTGGTCCTGCTGCCACGGGACTGGAGGAGAAGTTAATTGAATACCAGCTGACTCTGAGTTAAGGGTGAGAAAAAAAATCGAGCAAGGAGCTGACAGGACGTTGTTTGCACACGCGGCTCGCTGTGATCTCAGGCAGCGGCCCCGGGCTCAGTGACATCTAGGCGGCAGCAGAAACACGGCCAATCCCACAGCGGGCGCTCGCTCTACAAACAGCAGCTCCCGGGAGTTTTGGCCGCGGTTTTAAACAAAAAAAAGGCACTTGGAAAAATGTCTGCTATTCTTCAGTCGTGCAAAACGAAAAACCGCAATTACTTTTCTCTCTGTTGTGTTTAAGCTTTAAGGGAAAATCTCTTTAGCAGCGACGTTTTATCTCTGCCAACGTCCCTATCAATGTATTGCTTTGTGTCTCTCTGACCCATTGCTTAAATCTCCCACCTGAAGCTGGTCATTAAACTCCCTGCCTTGGCTGTCGCCTTGGTAACGCTGTTTTACCGCCTGCAGAACTAACCATGAAACATTGATTATTATACCACTCTCCTCCATAGATAAACCCTCCTCATTCCGCGCAGTAAGCAAAAATAAAAAATCTCCTTCAACAATCACCTTTTTAAAACATGCTCAAACTGAAATTCAGACTACCCCGAAATCTCCAGCCTTTTTCCAGGATGTAAAATTTGCAGTGGTTCAGGGCCTGATTTTCCTCTCCCATTCATCGTTCGACGTGTACAAAGTGACACTTAAATTTTAAGACAACACAATAATCATTCTTCCGACTGTCATAAAATGAACTTTGGAAACAATCGGACAGCTCAACATTATGGGATTTACGGTGTGGGGGGAAGAAATGAATTAACACATCTCTGGGGTATGTGGGACTTGAACCCGCATCTTGTCGCTCAGAAGTCGGGACACTAACACAAGACCCCTCTCTGGTGGGGTTGTAGCTTTTAATTAAAAAAAAAACTGCTGGGATATGTTATGGGACAGGTGGGACATGAACTGGGTTTATCCTGGCCCAGAGGTGCCCTCCGCGGTGATTATAAACGGTGGGGGTTTTTTTTCTACCTCTGCTTTCTCTCAGGGAGTGGTGTCCCTGTCTGGAAGAGTAACAGTGCTCTGGGAATGAGCTGCTGCATGGGGAGGGACCCATCTCACACAGTCACCAACTGACTGACTAAAGAAGCCTCAAAACGCCCACCGCAATCTACCGCTCCTTCCCTCTCGGGTAACTCTTCCTCCGGCGTCGGTTGTGGGGAGTAGTTGAAGGAGACAGAAAACGTACCGAACTCGGTACGAGAACTAAGGCGCCGGAAGACGCAAAGCCAAGAAGACAAACTCCAACCTGGGGAGCTCTAGCTCAGAAATCCGCGCTAAAACCCTGACCCTAGCCTGTCATTTATATCTGGCAGCAACGCGCATTTGTGCACCTTTTATCGTGATGATTTAAAATAATTTCGGGGGTTTTACGGCCTTTTTAACGAGTCTTATCCAAAATTTCTCATCATATGTTTTAGTCATTTCAGATTAGAACTTCTAACAGCGCTATTCAACAGAATGCGAACTCTACGTTCAAAATTATGATTTAAAAATCAGCTGAGCTCCATTACATTCGTTTACTGTCGTGGTTAAAGCTAAAATAGAACATTGGTTCCACTCGGGTTAAAGTGGACCACCGTCTAAAAGCGGGTTGGCATCTGTGCCAGCATTTAAATCCTTGTGTGTACCTCATGTTAGACCTAGCTGGATTATTTCAAACGGATCTGTATAAAGATAACACCTCGACCAGCCGTTCGCTTCCCTGCCCTCATCCGTCAGAAAAGGACCTTATTCCTAGAGACAACCATCATAACATACAAAAACAAAACAAAAATAAAACTCACGCCCTTTCAGGTTAAAGACAGATCATCTCATTTCGATTTTTTTTTCACATGCATCCAATTCCTAATATTCCCGCCTTCTGGGCCCGGTCAAATTAAACATCTCGATGTTTTTGCTGCATTTCTAAAATTTACAATCTCCAAAATAAAATCAAAACTGGAAATCTGCGCCTTTGTTTTTTTTCCTTATTTTGCACTGTTTTCATTTACCATCGCCTGTGTTTGGACATTTTGTTTTTAAAAAGCCGAATGTTAACCTCAGTTCGACATAAATAAAACATGTTGACTGAAGCATTCGTTTAAACTAAACCGAGTGGCTGTGATAGGATACGGTCCATGTTAAAAAGAGGGAAAAAATGGTACTGCTCCACTTCCATTTTGCTCTGGGTCGAAGCGCGGCTTTGATTTGGAGCAAGATAATTTTACCCCCCATTCCATCGGAGGCGGCTGTGGGAATTAATTGAGGCTACCACACCCGCCCCAGAGTGGGGAAATCAGAAAGCTTGCCCCCCCAGTCCCCCACGCCCCCACCCGACACCCCGGACACAGTCAACACTAAATCACATGCATTTGCCAATTAAGTTTACACCAACACTGGACTCAGCTCTCCCTGAACTCAGCTCGATGAGCAGGCGAGCTGTTGCCGAGGTTAATTCGCTCCATGTAGACAAGAAATCGACTTCCTTCCCCACCACATCCCCATCCACACCCCCCCCCCCCCCCCCCCCCCCCCCCCCCCCTTGGCGATTTATGGTGGAGATTTTTCCTGGCTGGCACATTAAATTTTCAACGGCTTTGCTAGGGAGAAATATCCCATTACAGTGCAGCGCCAGCATCCAATTTGGGAACCGTTCAAAAACGCCTACGAGAGCGCCGAATAAATTCATCTGAAAGTGCCCGAACCACTGGCTCCATTTGTGGGGAGCATGTGTCCAATAAATCATCTATTGACCTTTCTCGCTTTATATCAGACTGGCTCCTCTATTCGATGCTCTGGCGTTTTCCTTTCCCCACTCATTCCGCACTCCCCCCTACTCTCCGTTATATTTGCTTTAAACTGAGAGCACCGGGAGACTACAAATGAGAGACCTGAGAGCGATTCCAATCGATTGTAGCCAGGTTACTGTTAGAGAATCTTACATTATTAATTAGGAAATGATCTGCCCTAATGCTGCAAGCATGACAACCACAATCTGGGCCTTAGATATTTTTAAAATTCATTATTTTAATACAAATCGTACAACAGGAGCTTTATAACCATATCCTACCAAGTTTTAACATCTTATACCCTTTTATGTTTCTGATTTTCGCTCAAAACATCAAGCGACATTGTCATATCAACCACAAAAAAAACTCATACATATATTTTTATTTCTGGATTTGTAGCTATATTTTTTGCCGGTTTGCTTTTGAGAGTAAATTCTTTTTTTTATTGTTTCTAAAATAACGATTGGTTCTCATACTGTTTCGTTTGAGATACATTTAAGACCTTTAGTGATCTACTCTGCTACGCGACATCCAAAAATAAATGAGCATATATATTTTGTAGATATATATATATATTTAAAATTCTAAAAATAAGGAAAAGAAGCTTGTGAGAATGAGGATATCTTTTTTACGATTAGGAAACAATTTTTGCGATTCTCCGGAGAGAGAGGGGTTGGGGAGGGGAGGACACGGCGATCTAAATTTTTCGCGGTTTGTATTATTTTTGGAAAGGGGGCGGTCACTGTAGTTTTTTTGTCACTCCCCCTGAGAGTTCTAAAATGATAAAAAGCACAAGACTTCAATACGCACGAGATGGTGGCAGTAAGAAACACAGCGAAGGTGTTCATTCACCAAGATTCACACAATAGAGTGGCCAGCTTTCTGCTTTCTCTCTCTGATCCACCGAAGGACCCACAACAACTTTAACTTTTGGCCCAAAGGCCGTTCCTGAGTTTTGAACCGAACTCTGGGGTTCTGGTCTGCATCTGGTTGGAGATATCCTCTTGTTGAGTTAAGTTCTCGTTGCAGTTTTTGTTTTGTTGTTTTCAAAGAAGGTTGACGCTCCTCGGTAACATTTTGGCAAATGACACAAAAACAAAACCGCTTGTGTGTTTAAATGGAAAAGAAACGAAATAAGAACAATTTAAAAGAAAAGAGACATGAGACAGTTTCCACTCCTGGCAAATACCTTCTGGGTCACTGATGAATCACAAGGTCCTGTCATTCTGAAATGATTTTTTTTGCAACATTTCCACACACGCTATATGGGCGGGTGGGCGGCGTGTGTTTGCAAAAATGCTGTTTTTTTTCTGTTGTGTGTGATGTCTCTAGAGTAGGATCCAGGTCAGTAAGACGGACAATGTTAAAACGGCGAAGGTGAAACACTGGGGGCTTATTGCAGAGTTATTCCTTTCGCACAGGTCAAACAAACTGCCTTCGAAATCCAGGTTTTTGGAATCTTTTTTGAGTTTTTCCCAAACATCGGTTGCTCCATCTTGGCAATCCGCGATGGCAGTCGTGGCGCATGCGTGGAAGTCGTTCCAGTATCTAGAGTTTCGGGGGGTGGGGGAGTGGCGGGTTTGGGGGAGGAGGAGAGTGAATCCAAACATCAAAATAATACACCGAATATTCCGATAAATCAATCTCCTGCACCGCTGTCTGTCTCCCTGTGCAATGTCTCCCTCTACTCCAATCATTAGCTCTTACATTTCTCTTTCACTTCACACTACCCCCACCCACCCCCCTGCAACTTGTTTGATGATCAAGGCGCATTTTAATCGTCATTAAAGTGGCACGGATTCCATTTGTCATTCACGTTGGGCAGGGCTATTACAATCGACACATTTCCTCATCTTTTTTTCTCCCCTCTGAACAGATCCAGGCACCGTGAGAGCACTGCGCTGTGCCCAGAGGTGGCCCCTATCTCTAACGGACTGAGAGTGACTACGTGTTTTCTAGTTAAAGCCAAAATTGTAGAAAATTGTCACACACACACACATACTTGCATACAAACACACACATACACAGACACATTCATACGTACATATATAAACACATACATACACGTATATGCATATAAATGCACTTATGTATACATAAATACACATATATGCGTCCAAATAGACACATTCGTGAATACATATACACACATGCATGTACGTACATATACACGAATGTGCACCTATATGCGTACAAATACAAACATACATTAATGTAAATTCACACACAATATACAGATATACCTATTAATACACACATACGCATACAAACTCATGCAAACACGAACATGCATACAAATACACGTACCTAAGACACTCGCACAAACAAATCTACATACAAATAATGAGACATTCATCGCACATAAATACACCTACAAAAACAGACATGTCCGTGGACACGCATACACGAATCTGCTCACACATACAACATACATTCATACACATACACGCAGAGACACCTACACAGCCACATACATAGCAAGTCTATTAATATTGCATACGGGGCTGATTAATCGATCCAACTGCATATTTTTTAACGATTTTGTTTCTGTGTACATATTTAAAATACTAGAACCAGATATTGCATACGCCACTACAGCATTTGGGTTGTTGCAATGGCAGAGCTTTTCAATGAACACTGAAAAACGTCCGCATCTGCCGTGTTTTATACACAGGCAATAAATAATGGGATATTGAGATGCCAGGGCAATCTTTCCTACAGTATTTCTGCTATGATTACATGTCCCAGAGGACAACGAAATCATTTCTGATCTCCCTTTGCTTTCCGATCTTGCTCTTTCTTTACAGAATAGGAAGCAAGTGGGATTCAAAAATCCTAATTTAAACTGTGAATAATTTACTGGGCAGTTTTATTTACAGGTTACCATGCTGCACATGCAGCAACATTCTTCTGCTGCACTTTACAATAAATATTAACTGTTCTCTTATGGGAATGGAGTCTTTTTCGACGGAAGCGATTTTCCCTCACTTATATACTCTAGCACCTCAGCTTATATATTTCTACTGCTTTTTAATGCGCCTATTGCGTCTATTCGTTGACCCCCTGTCTATCAACACAGTCGGTAACGTTACCACATTCCATGATACCAAGGGGCATTTAAAAGGGGGCAAAATTATTTACTACCCAAAAAAGTCTTAGTAGAAATTAATTTGCTATCCATTCAAGCCGCGTTCAAAACCACAATCTATCCAAACCATGTATATATCAATGAGAAAGATATTATCATTTTATAAAAGTGTCAAGTAGTCAGGGCTAGAATTTTCCAATAGGCTTTATTCGTTCTTCATTCATCTCTACATATTTTTGTGGTATACGGCACACCTTTTAAATGCCGCTGCCTGTTTGGCACTCATTCTTTATCGTTCTGTGCCTTTACGTGTATTTGCAACCGATTCTATGCACTTCCAGGGGGCATACACGAACACAAATCATCAGCGTAAACATACAACGGATATTTATAATCTTCTCATATAAAAAAAGGCGATCACTGGGTTATTCACAGGGTTAAATAATCGTATGCTCGTGTTTGCAGGATGAGCATCGAGAGAAGAGCACATTATTTTTTAAAACCTATGGCTTGTTGGCACGGATTATCCGATATGGAATATAGGCGTGGTTGTATGTGGGAAATATGTGCATATCTAAGTCTATAGCCGGGCTCCCTGGAAAAAAAACATTGCTACCCTATGATGCATCGCAGGCACCAGTTGGTATGCAGTACTCAGGCCTTTGTTCGAATGTGTACCCTTTGTGTGTACAGAGGGAGAAAAACGCATAACAGCAACATGTTAGAGGTGGTGTTGGAACGGACGTGATGATGCGTGCGTGGAGGGTTTGGGGCGCGGTGCTGAGGCTGAGTCACTGAGTGTAAGAGACCATGCGGGAGAGTGGTGAATGAGGGTGATATTCCTACCTTGCGTGTTCCACGTGGGGAGTATGGGGGTGGGGAGGAAGATGGGGGGATGGTTGGTGAGTGTGGGTGTGTACGTGTGGATGTTGGTGTCATACTTACGAGCAGATGGTTTCAACATTCTGCTTGTCGTCCATATCTTGCTGGTAGTTCGCGACGTTGTCTCCCAGCTTCAGCAAGCAATCCGAGAACCCTTTAAACACTGCATCACACTTGCCGGCTGCTCGCACAGTATGAAACAGATAAGCTGTAGGGAGAATCAAAACAGTGGTCATGAAATATTGTTACTCACCATACCACTTTATCAGAAAAAAACAGAACGATGACGGTTGCTGCCAATAAATTGCTGCCTATGTTGCTTTTCAAGGTAATTTTTCATGTGATGAGCTACACATCACATACCAACATATATATAGTAGATAGTTTATTATCTAAATATACATTATTTTTACAGAAGTGTTGCTCCTTTTAACAGAAGCCTGATGCGTTTCTGTCTCTCCTTAGGTATTGACCGGAGCTGCCCTTTTCGTTCCAGGTTAAAATAACAGTCCCCTGTCTGTCTGTTTCAGGTTTATTTTTAACCTACCTTGGATATTCTTCCAAGGTCTCTATTGGCATGAGTGGGAGCCCCCACCAACGTCCCGTCCCCTTTCCATCTGCGTGACCTGCAACCTTTCTGAATGTTGCTTTCAGGCGAAAATCTTTTTTCCCGTCTTTTATGTTTGGGGTTGGAAAGTGTGTAACCATCTCCCCAGCAGCTTTCCTTCACTTGCCAGTGTTAGTTTCGGTGAGTTGTGGTTGTGTGGAGTTTGAAGGGAAGACAATAATCGGCAGCGGGCACAGACAAAGCTACAGACACGAGCTGACAAGGTGTCGCCAGATCGCAATTGTGACTCTTTTCTCTTAGACCGTGGGGATGGTTGGATTTTCACAACGTGTCCCTGGGGCCGGTATTTAACTTCGAAGCTTCGCATTCCGTCCCGTCGCTTCTTGGAATCCTCTGCATTTTGGTTTTAAACAACCACGGCTGTCCATATGCCCCCTTTTTCGCCTGGTTGGTCGTCTCTTACTCAATTAATTTTATTTTAAAATTCAATCCAGTGCATGGTGAGTGACCGGAGCTTGCTAGCGGAACTGTGTACATGTTAATTAATGCTATCAATCCTGCCCTTAACTGGTGGAGAATTAGCATTGCTGGCCTAATTGATCCGTCCATGGGTTCTGACCAAATGAGCCTCACTAACAAGAATAAAACCTGCACCATATGGCACTGTGAGATTTTGCTATTAATCAGCTGGTGGTACTTTAGCTGTAACCGGCTTAAAAAACTGAAATATGGAGAAGGGCCTTCGCTACAGTCGCTGCTTTCACAGTAAAAGGTGTCTGTGATGTATGGGTGTGCAATGTTTTTCTGGAATTATCTACATCTATGATTTTTGAAAACAAGCCTTAATAAAGGGCACAGCGGCGATTTGAACGTGACTTTTTTTTGCTGTTGTTGTTCAGTTCGATTTTACAGATGAATATTTTGATCCAACGGTTTAAATTGCGTTGTCTAACATTTTTGTTTTGGGAGCGGATTGTCCGTGTATAAATGTACGAGATAACGGGAAAGAAACCGCCCCCATTAAAATTGACCGCAGTACTACAGGATTCCGGTTACAATCACGAGGCTTGTTACATCGCTTGGCAAGTCATTAAAATGCACTTTCTACCATCGTATGTTAATGGGTAACCTATTAATAAAATGCTTATTAAAATAGATTAAAGCACTGGTATGATTATCAAGCACCTTTTTTTACAAAAATGCAATAGAATCCATATGGGATGGTAGAGAATGGTCGAATGTGCTGTTAGATCTCAGTGACAGTGCAGACACAGAGGCAATGCGTTTTTGTTCATTTTAATTTTGCCGGGTTACTTAATCCTTCCAAAGGAGGAGATTACCTACATTCTGAGGGGAAACTACTCATGATGCTTGTTCCCAATTTAAACATTCAATCTTAGCTCTATTCTTCGCTTGCAAACGAATGTGACATTTCATGTTCACCGCGTTAACAGATTAAAAAGAGAGAGGCTTTCCTACACTGTCCTCTTCCCGGGATAGTCTCCTCTCGATGTCCAATACATTCTTTAAACCGGGAATTTCATTTTGAACTGTGCCCAGGGAACAATTTCTGGATTATTGCGAAAAATTCGACGCCTCCTTTACTTCTCCCCGTTTAGCTTCAAAAATGATTTTCTTTTTGACGTGTTCGCAGACTATAATTTCTAGCTATTTAAAATCTCATTGAAAATAACAAAGAAATGATTCATTTGCCTTTCTTAAAGCCTGGGGAACATATAAGTGGCAACATGTCAGATGTTAATGAAGACGAAAGATTTTTTTTCTGCCTCTGAATCGCTACAATTTGCAGGATATGTTAAGACAGTGACTGGATTTTATCTTGGACGTAACATTATGCACAGACAGCTCTGAATAAACCGATATTAAATATCCTACAAATGTGCTTCTAAGTCTAATAATGGGAGCCGTACATTCTCTGCTTGGCTCTGGTATTTTGCAGAGCCGAGGGCTTTTGTGTGCAAGTTAAACCGCGGCTGAATGTCATATGGTCGGGGGATGGGGGGTCTTATGGGTTTGGATCCCGAGAAAACAGCTTTCTAGTCTTCATGCATCCGAGGGTTAATAAAGACCGGCTTTAACTCTTTCATTGTCTCCAAGAAAGTGACATTCCCACAACCCGCCTGTCATGGAACACCAGAAGGGAGAGAGAGAGAGAGGAACTGCAGGACGGGTTTATTACATTTCAATCCACGTCCTATATTTTTTCTCCCCCTCTCCGTTATCGGAAGGGAAGTAAGTACCGTGGCGTTATCACGGACAGAAAAAAAAATAAACGGGCAATGGATGAGGGCTGAGTTTCCCTGTGTCAGGAACCAGCTTTTTGTTCAAATGACTGGGGAGATGGTATTCAGACTGAGTTGGACGATGCGTCTAGATCTCTCGCGTTGTTCCCCCCCATCCCCCTGAACCAGGCTTTGGTGTATATTGAGAGATGAAACTGGAGGTGGTCACTTTCTGGAAGAGTGAGGGTCAGACACCAACTGGAACACGCTCACACACACACACAAAACGAATTAGTCGAGTGTTAATAGTTTGACTCACCGAGCTGAACAGCGAGAATAAGTGCAAGGTACGCTCCGTTCAATATAAGTCCCATCCTATACTGAGTAGAACCATTGGAGACTGCAGGCTTTTCAGATGATTAGCTGCGAAAATGTGGGGCAAGGCCGGACACCAGACATTGCCAGCAAGTTAGTTCCTCCAAGTATAACAGCACAGTACAGCCGAGGTGGATTAGTTCACTGGCGTCTGAGTGAAGGGTAGGGTTGGGGGGGTGGGGGGCTGGGGGGTGGTGGCTGGAGGTGGTGGGTGGGAAAGGGGGGGGTAGTCTCGGCTGAGCTTCGCAGTACCACGTACACTCCTGACGTATGGGTTACACTTACTGAATCCGACTGGGCTGGGGGAAGAGAGAGAGAGAGAAAAAAAAGGCACACACCATATTTATAGCCATCAGAGGGCTGGGTATTATTCAGATCTCTGCGTTAATGTGGGGGACATAAAATATCCCGCACCCACACGTTCTGACATTGGTTTAAACTCCCACCCTCTGGCCGGGGGAGAAAGGAGGGGTGAGTTTGACCCCCCCCCCCCCCCCCCCCCCCCCCCCCCCCCCAACACACACTACTTGACTATTGATTAGAGTGGAGGCAACTGGGGAAATGAAAAATGAGGTCGCAGGAGAGAGCGAAACTTGAATGTTTAGGGCAGTGAATGGCGGTTTTCTTGTCACAAAACAACATTAACAATCTAGGGTGTGGAATAGTGAAATCGACTGTCAGACCCCCTTCCTAAATCAGTTTGGGTAAACGAGTTTTAAACATTTACACATCCTGTGGGGTTCTTTTGATCTGTCCCAGCGCTAACATTTCCAAATCTTATTTCTTAAGTATTAAAGACAGACTCCAATATTCCTGCTTTTTTTTTGTTAATGGACTGCGTTTCTCTGAGGCAATTTTTGGCCCTCGGCCCCTCTCCCCACGCCCCCTGCCCTCCCCATAAGAGCAGAAATTAGACCATTCGGCCTATCTAGTCGGCTCCGCCATTCATTCATGGCTGATACGTTTGTAACCCCATTCTCCAGCTTCCTCCCCGTAACCCTTGATCCTCTTGACAATCAAGAACCTATCTATCTCTGTCTTAAATCTCCGGTTGTGAAACAAGTGAAAAGTGAGCCCATTTCATTGAAGGATGGTCTACTTCAGCAAGTTTATCCTGTACTTCTTCTTCATCAATGACACTGCCGGGTAAGCTCTTCTCTCTGGGGACCCAACATGTCTGTCGTAAATCAGGTTGCCTCCAAAATTAACCGGCACTCAGCGAATAAAACCGATCATCACTAAAGCGCTCATCGAGATTCCAAAATATGTTTGTGTCCCCGGTTAGAGGGGAGTATCGAGCGGGGTTTGAGGGGGTAGGGGAGTGGAAGAGACGTGTGTGGGTCGCTCTGTTGGAAGATAGAGATCAAGCCCTTGCTCCATCCCTGTCGGCATGATCCTACTTGTCCAGCTGTTCGACTGCGGGTAGCATCACAATTGTGGGATGCAAGTGCGCGGGATAGGATGACAGCTGCCTCCGAGATAGTCAATGAATCTGCTTTGGGGAGCAAGGGGAAGCTGAAGATTGAGAGGTTTTTATTCCCTGGCTCTCTGGCTCCATTTTTTTCGAAAGTCCTTTAAATAATTGATGCCCCCCCCCCACCCCCCTGGGACTACCAGCGAAATGAATGACGTCACCCTGTGGTTGCTGAAAGTGGATGTCTCCCGCTGACGTTAGCGGGAATCTCTCTGTCCTGACAGTAAGTGATGGACAGAATAATGATCAGCTAGCAGACCTCTTTCACCCTCTTAAAGAGCCCGGCCCTTCTCCCTCGGCGCCACCACTTGTGCAGCACACGCCTCCTTCCAGGTTAATGCACCTCTCCAGGTCAGAGCCTGTCCCTTTTAACCTGCCCCACTGCTGGTGCCCCGCCACTCCTCACTCACCCTCCATCAGCTTCCCTCATTCTCCCCTGGGGACGGGATGGGGGGTGGGTGGAGGGTGGTATGGTCAGCGTTAACATTCATTCACACCATAAATAATGCAGGCTTCTGGTTTATTTATGTAGAAAGAAAGAATTGTAGCATTCACCAGTTTAGTTGTGTAACCAAATTCCCCAAGTCGTGAATTCTGTGTGTGCTTGTGAGCGTGTGTGTGTGTGGGTGTGTGTGTGTGTATGTGTGGTGCGTGTGTGTGTGTCTGTGTGTGTATGTATGTGTGGTGTATGTGATTGTGCATGTGTGTATGTGTGGTGTGTGTATGTGTGGTGTGTGTGTGTATGTGTGGTGTTTGTATGTGTGTCTGTGGTGTGTGTGTCTGTGTGTGTGTATGTGTGGTGTGTGTGTGTCTGTGTGTGGATGTATGTGTCGTGTGTGTGATTGTGCATGTGTGTATGTGTGGTGTGTGTATGTGTGTCTGTGTGTGTATGTGTGGTGTGTGTGTGTGTCTGTGGTGTGTGTGTCTGTGTGTGTGTATGTGTGGTGTGTGTGTGTATATGTGGGGGGTGTGTGCGTGTGTGTGTGGGTGCACGTGTCGTTGCCTGTTTAAATTTCGACTGAAGCAAACGGCAGGATCCCATCTAGTTAACAGGGAGAAATTGACATTTCGCTTTATTGATTCCAGGATTTCCACAATGCAGTCCACTCAGTGCCAATCGGATCTGGGTTTCCTGCCTCTGTGTGTGTGTGTGTGTGTGTGTGTGGTGGGGGTGGGGGGGCGACATTTCGATTCACCACGGGGTTATGACATTTGTTTTCATTTCTAAAGCAGCCCAATCCACTATTCCAGACGAGGGTCTCACCTTGTCTCTGAAAGGTCTGAGTAATGCAGCGACACTGCGGGCGTGAACCGACACACTCAAACTCCCGTTTGCAGAGGACTGGGCGCGTCTTATTGTAACGGGTTACACGCACGGATCAAAATCCATCGAGGGAATCGAATTCAACTAACATTCCGATCCCAGGTCTACGTTCGAAACATTTCAGCTGGCCATTAACAAAATACACTGAGAATTACAAAGAGAAAAAAAATCATTGGGAACAGAATGTCGTTTTATCTCGGTTCCATTGAAATCGTTGGAGATGTTTCCTGCCACTTTGGGAAGTCTGGAGACGGTTCATTGTTTGCAACCCACGCAATGTTAGTTTCCTAAATGGAAATGTATTAGTAGAAACATTTCTATCAAACCTCACTGTCAGCATTTAAGAAGCCTATACAGCAAGCAGGAATAGAAATGATAATAAAGAAAATCATTAAATATATTTAATTTCACTGCAGAAACACTAACACGAATATAAATGATTCGTCGGTTTCTTAAGATATATATCAAAACTAGAATAATTCAAGTGTAATCGGAATATTATTTACTGCACTTAAATATAATTACTAAACGATAAGCAACAAAAGGCACATTCAGGCTGCGATTTGGTGAACAGTTGGTATTGATTCAATCGAATTAATCTGATGTCAAATGTGTACCGGTATAATCACGAAAAGTCAAATTTGCCATTGGTCATTTTAAGATAAAATTATTTGCCGCCTGTAACAAACATGGAGATACGTAATGAAAAGAACAAATGCTGGGGATCTCAGGGGGTCAGACAGCATCCACGGAGAGAGAGCAAGTTAACGTTTCGAATCTAGATGACGCTTCATCGAAGACAAGCAAATTAGGAGCAAGACTGGGTCACATCTCAAACCTGTTCCCCATTTAAAAAGGTCATGACTGATCTGACTGTGGTCTCAACTCCACACTCCTCCTGTCCCTGATAACCCTTGACTCCTATCCCTGATAACTAGTTGACTCCCTTGCTAGTCAATAATTTATCTTCCTTTACCTTCAAAATATTCATAGACCCTGGAAGAGAGTTCTGAAGATTCACAAAACTCTGAGAGGAAAAAAAAATCCCAATGGGAGATCTCCTTTTTCAGTTTAAACCATGTTCAATAGTTCAAGCCTCTCTCACATAAGGGGAAACATCCTCTCACCATCCCACCCTATTAAGTCCCCCCAAGATCTTATATCTTGCAATAAGTTCACCAAAATGAAGACCACACTGAGCCTTCAGAAAGGCCTTGCATGTAATTTCAAAGTATGAGACTTATCATAACTTATAAAGTAACCTTCCTTGCCAGAGCTGCACTGAAGACTTGTACAATGTCTGGGCTATGACTGGGAGTTAATGGGAACTGAATTTTTTCACTTCATTCTCTCACCTCAGCCTTGAATGTGGGAGGGAAAGTGTTCGAGGTGAGAAGGCTGGTGAAGAGGTTGGAATATACTGCTGGCTGCTATATGCCGACCTCCTCTGACCCCACAGCATATGTAGCTTTTGTCACATATTCATTTGAGCTCAATTTCCTGCCCTCAATTACACTCATTCCTTCCACTAATACAACTTCACTTGTCCCTTATTTCCTCACTTGGTCTTTTACACAGTCACACCTATGCTCATTCACACATCCTCTAACTCATCAATTCCCTCTTTGCTGTAATAGTCACTCATTCTCCCATACTCATGCACTCTCTATCATTCTCACATTCAGTGACTCATAGATAGCAAAATACTGTGGAAGCTGGAAATCTGAAGCAAAATCTCAAAGAGCTGTAAATGCTCAGCAGGTCTGGCAACAACTTTGGAGAAAGAAACAGTTAAGGTTTCAAATGGAATATAACTCTTCTTCAGGTCACATTAGATTCAAAACACTAAATTGGTTTCTCTCTCAACAGGGTCTTGTATCTAGTCAGCTGTGGCTCAAACACTTCTGCTTCTGAGTCACAAAGTTCAGGGTTAATGTTCCACTTCAGACTTAATTGCAAAAGTTAGGGTTGATCTTAATGCAGTATGGAAGAAGTGTTGCACTTTGCTGAAGGTATCCTTTTTTTTGCCTGAGAATGTGAAACAGAAGTCCTGTCTAGTTTCTGAAGTGGATCCAATAATATTCTTTTAAACAAGAGTAAGGGTTTTATCCTTAGTGTCCTGGTGAATATGAATCATTCAATCAACATTACTAAAACAGATACAAAAACAAAGTTGCTGGAAAAGCTCAGCAGGTCTGGCAGCGTCTGTGGAGGAGAAAACAGAGTTAACATTTTGGGTCCAGTGACCCTTCCTCAGAACTGATGGTGGCTGGGAAAACGTCAGTTCATATGCAGAAAATAGGGAGGTGGGTAGGGTAGGGAGTAAACGTTATGATAGGGCCTAAAGAGAG